TTTAATCATTCCAATAATAGATGTATATGTGGTAATATTGAGGTACCTCAATACCTTTTGATCAGTTGCCCAGTATACAAAGCGGAAAGAAAAGAGATATTCCAGAATATACCACTTTCTAAAATCACTCTACAATTCCTACTTCATATGAAAATAGGAATCGAATTAACTATCAAATTCATCAATACAACTAAAATTGCTACAAGAGCCTGGCATTTATCAAGGGCTTAAATGGAAGAAGAAAGAGAAAAAGAGAGAGAGATTGAAGAAAGAGAAAGAGAGAAAAAATATTCTACAGAGTAGATTTCCTTATTGTCTTACTATATGTTATACATATAGTAAGTGGGCTTAGGTCCCCAATGTTCGTTTGCACTTCCCCAAATTGTTTATTCCTATTATTATAAAATAAAAAGTTATCTACTAGGCCCTTAAGGCCTAATCGTCCTATATAGTCTTAGACTGAAGGTGGATGTAAATTCAATTAATCAATCAATCAATCAATCAATTATAGATCGGAAGTTTGGTGGAAAGGTCAGATCAAATTCAAGGATATACTTCAATCACTTCAAAATCTAGCTCTTCGAAAGATACTTGGAGTTTTCAAAACCGCTCCAATCCTTCCAATAGAAATCAAAGCAGGACTAAAGCCAGCAAAAATCCGTTTAGACTCAAATATAAAACGATATGCCTTTCGATTAATGAAACTATCACCAAATCACCCAATCAATATCGAAAAAGAAGTATTATCTCAACACAAATCGAACCTAGAAGCAATAGCTTACCCCTCGAAGGAAACGATACAAGCCACTTTAATTAGATAAAATAAGAGAATCCATAGAACAAGATTTCGATCCATCTACTCTCGAAAAGATTACCCATTTCAACTTCCCTCCCTGGAAAAGAAATACACCTTACAAAGTCAATATTAATAAAGCCTTGAAAGAAAATACAGCTACTCTTCACAATATTATATTTAAACACAGAGATCAAAATACAGTTTATATATATACTAATGCATCTTCTACCAAAAAAGGAATTGGAATAGGAGTAGGGATAGTTGCAATACAATCAAATGGATCAATCTCTTATCGAAAACATTCGAATATTGGTATCAATCAATTAGTATATAATGGAGAATTATTGGGAGTTACAAAAGCTATCGAATATGCTAGCACTGTAGTATATAAAGGACAGAAATTCAAGATCTATTCGGATAACCAAGCTGGACTCTATTGTCTAAAAAACCCTCTCCGATCACTCTGGCAAGCCTACCAAATACAAGCAATCAAGGCAGCAGAGGATATTAGAGCAAAAGGAGCTGAAGTCTCCTTAAATTGGGTTCCAGGTCACACTTCGATATAAGAAAATGAAATGGCTGATAAATTAGCGAAAAAAGCAACTTCAATATAGGCTACTTCAAGCGAAACTAGTATAGGGCTACTTGATATAATAATAAAGAAATACAACTCCAATCAATAACTAGAGATTTTCAATCAATACAAATCCAGATCAAATCAATCAGATACAACCTATTCGAAACTCTTCCCATAGAAAATCAGCTCCAAAATCAAGCTATTAGAAGGTACTAAGCAAAATACTACTAACACCTTCTTTCAATTCAAAATCGGCCATGGTTATATTAAGTCTTATTTACATCGATTCAAACTTTCAAACAATAAGTATATCTACAATAATATCGAAACAGCTGCACATTTCCTTATTAATTGCCCAATATATAGAAAAGAAAGAAAGGAAATCTTCAAAGAAATATCAATCTCTAAAATCAACCTACAATTCCTGCTACATACGAAAATAGATATCGAACTAACAATCAAATTCATCAATATTACCAAAATCGCTATTCAAACTTGGCACCTATTAAGAGCCGAGATATAAAACGAAATTGTGGAAGAAGAAGAGATAATAAGAGAAGGAGAGAGAGCCATTTTGGAAATGGAAAGAGAAGGAAAAGAAGAAGAGAAAAGATAGAGAAGAAAGGGTTTAACCCTTTCTATTCTATATCTTACTATACGCACTTCGTATAGTAAGTGGGAACGAGTTCCCAGTATTAGTTTTCACTTACTCTATTATTAAAATTCCTAATTTTGTACTTTAAAAGTTATCCGCTAGACCATTTGGCCTAGCCGTCCTATATAGTCATAGACTGAAGGTGGACGTTAATTAAAAAAAAAAAAAAAAAAAAAAATTCCGGTTGATTCTTACAGATAGAAGTCTATACTAATTAATGTTGCCACTGATTGCGTGGCCTTCAAAGATCAAGCAGGCTATGCAGTTACTTTCACTACCTAGGTACCTATGTGAGGTTGATCTTGATGCTGATAAAGCTCCATGCGTTGTCTACTTATCCAGGCTCAATTGTAGAGGAAGAGTACATCAAAATAAGTACTATAAGTGAAGGAGAAATTCGAAATAGGAGTACGCTATCTGAAGGATATCACATAAGTCGCACCCTATGATGTTCTTTCGTTCCGAACCCTGGATTTTTTCTATAAGAGAAGAATTGGGCAAAGGTGTTGAGATGAAAAGGAAGAAAAGAAAGACCGATAGGCGCATTTCAGCGTGAGTCAAGTCACTGCCACAGCCGGTCTCATCTCTATTCGTCGCAGTCGTTTTGAAGCTGTACACAGCTTTCTTCACCAACAACTCTGACGTACAACTCAAGAGATACTCGAAGGATAAGATACTTGAATATCCCTCTCTTCTCTCTTCTCTCGTCAGTATGTTGTTGTTGCCGCTATATCAGAGGTACTAAAGAACAGGACGATAGGATCAGATGATCTGTTCGATTTAAATGAGAGGTTGGTCAATGAGAGATTAGTGAGACAGAATCCATGAAATCTAGTATTCATGTTAGTATCTAGATTAGTCGAGTAGAATGAGAAAAGTGATTTCTGAGTGTGCAAAGGAGAAAACAGCCATCCATCTTGGTGTATAGGTGTATAAATTTCTGTATCCTGCGGCAGACAAAGTCGATAGGAGAAGAGGAACCCTTGATCCATCAAACATTTCATGGAAATTGTAGATGTTCGGAGAGCTCTTCGGAATCAAAATTGGATTTGAAGTTCTGACAACCATAACAAGAAAATCTGACATATGATTTGAAATGACAAACGCTGCCTCACGCAATAATTTCTTTAACACGAAAGTTACACGACGTTCGAAAGATGGGGTATCAAATCAAACAGCTTGATTTTCAGGAACGGACAAGGATTGCATTTAGCCAGTATCCATCCGATATCTTTGAAGTTTGCGCGAACCGGATGAATTGAGTCTGGCATACTGTTCAATCAGCCTACCCATCCGCCTGCCACGGGGCATTCATTTGGGAGTTCGTCGACAAAAGCCATCGACGTTGCAGCCAAGTAGGCCAAGTAGGCCAAGTAGGTTGGCATCGCCAAGCAAAGCTTCGTCATCTCCATCATTCCCATGCCGAGTAAAGCCGCATAGCTTATCTTGGCGCTCATATCAATGAGTTCTCCGGATATCAAAAGTATCAAAATTTTGCGATTCAGGACGGTCACATTCGGATCCTCACATGGCAAGTTGCGAGACTCAAAAAAAAAAGCAAGGCAATCCACAAACCATATCAGGAAGGTTGTTTCGTAATACAAATCCTATCTCGCGAAGTCCGAAGGAATTTGCCTTTATTCACCCACAGATTATTTGCGTGATAATTGCGTTTCTTCCTGAAGATATTTCGAGATAGCACAAGATAGGTCGCTTTCGAACAGAAATGGTAAGTTAGGGTTACACGATTCGTGTATTGACAAGCATTCGTAGCCGATAATGGAGCCGGCGCGGCGTGCGTTGCCGAGACGGGAAGCTAGTCCTTGGTAGCCCCATTGTTCTTGTGTTGTATTGTCCTTGTAAAGCTTGTTCTTGACAATGGATAGGTACGGTATTCCTCGGCATTCTTGAAAATTCCTTAGTGATTGGAGATACTCCTTGTTGTTTCCTGACCCTACTGTGTCCTTCGTATCTTTCTACAATTTTTGAGGTTCTCTCTGGGGGTTGCGATAGGTAGATAATCCCCTCATGTGAACGATAGCATTGAACGACCAGGATCCTAAATCGCCGATTGGATTCTGACATGCATTCACATCTCCATTTAACGATATCCATCCCCATCCATATCTTCACAGGAATGCAACCTTGGGGTCAACTTGCCTATCAGAACTTGTCTTGCATAATTTACCTTCCACATTTCGCAAAAAGTCGCGTTGCTTCGCTTACAATAAGATGCAAGATATATGGAAACCATGATCAAAATGTGGCTCAAGCGGAGATTGTAGAGGGGTATGTTCGTTACAACATTGATCTAAGATAAGGTTCTTTCCATCTCCACACCACATGATTACTTTGATTGGTGGATCATTTGAAGACAGCCGCTCATGTTGCTGTTCTGTTCCTCTGCCCGTTGAACATACAGTATACATAGGCGCCAAAACAAGGTGTCTTAGATAAGAAATTAGAGGACCTCCTTTTTATGGAAATGATTGAAGACAATCGTCGATGATCTTCAGTTAAGATGAATGATGTTCACAGGCTTGAGGGTTAATGAGGAAGGTGATCAAGTTGATCTATACGGGTCAATATGGGTATTGCCCTCGTCAAAGTTAGACGTCGGCATTCATAGTTGGATGGCCTCATTGGCGACTATTGGACCTTCCATGCAAAGTGCCGGTGAAGAAGTCCAAATTGAGATATCGACATCCCCACGTTGTCGTGATAACAACACATTCTGATCATTTGGGAAGGTAGATTGAGACCTGGGTTGAGTTGCAGTTGAGCTTGAGCTTGATGTGAAAGTCAGTCATTCTCAATCGTATATATATCATGTCTTCATCCGCTGGATAATGTCTTTCTCTCTCCAGTCCAGCTTCAATCGTTACTCAGTCCTCACAGCGAATCCAATCCAATCCATCTATTAATTGTCCGTTCGTTCGACAATCAATCAATCAATCAATCAATCAATCAAAATGAAGTTCTCCACTCTCGCCGCTACCGCCTTCTTGGCCGGATCTGCCGTTGCTGCCCCAGGTACCGCTTTGAGACAAGCACGTGCCGTTAAGCGCGCTGCTGGCACCCACGGTAACCCAGTCAAGTACGTTCAAGGACCATCTTCCGAAGTCACCAACAAGACCGATGTTTCCTACTCCTCCAACTGGGCTGGAGCTGTCCTCGTCGGCACTGGTTATACCTCCGTAACTGGTACTTTCGTTGCCCCATCCCCATCCACTGCTGGTTCCGGATCCGCATGGGTTGGTATTGACGGTGACACCTGTGGTACTGCCATTCTCCAAACTGGTATTGACTGGACCAAGTCTGGTTCTTCCATCACTTATGATGCTTGGTATGAGTGGTACCCAGATTACGCATACGACTTCAGCGGTATCTCCATCTCCGCTGGTGACACCATCAAGGTCACTGTTACCGCCACCTCTAAGACTGCTGGTACCGCCATTGTCGACAACGTCACCAAGGGCAAATCTGTTTCCCACACCTTCACCGGTGGTGTTGACGGAGATCTCTGCGAGTACAATGCCGAGTGGATCGTTGAGGACTTCGAGCAGGGCAGCTCCCTTGTCCCATTTGCCGATTTCGGTACCGTTACCTTCACTGGTGCTTCTGCCGTCAAGTCCGGAAGAACCGTCGGTGTTACCGGTGCTACCATTATCGATCTTCAGCAAAACACGGTCCTCACCGACTGTTCTCTTGTTGGAAGCACTGGTGTTACTTGCAAATACGTTTAAATAACGATTGCTTGGTGTAATCTTGAGCCTGCATTCCCTTGCTCATATGATTTGCGATAAATATTGGTTGGATCCCTGGAATTTGGTTGGTCTGGGGGATGGACTTACCTTATTTTCTTTCGCTAAAAGAAAATGGTGGCATTTGGATGATGTGATGAGGTTATGAACACGGAGGCTGCACTCCCCAGCTTTGAGCGACGGCTCTTTTTCGTGGGAGGGGCATGGTGTTGGATTGGGGTTTTTTAGTTTGGTTTCTTTATGTCCATAGTTGTGTCTGGTCAAAAAAAATGAAGCACATACTCTCTTGATTTTCAGTCCTTTTTGCTTGTGAAACCGTGAAACATTGTTGCTGTGATTTAATTTTACAATGGAAAATTATGGGATGTAGAGATTTGAGCTGTGCAAGCTTTAAATTAGTACATAGTACTTCATACGGATTTTTCAACTCAAAATGTTTTTGTGAGGCCTATTGATATACTAAGATACTATATTATTCAGAAATCCTTTAAATTTCTTTCTAATTCTTTATAGAATTTTATATCTTATCATTTAATCTCTAATAGTTTTTTATATAGTTTCTTATATATTGAAATCAATTAATTAATATTCTAATATAATTTATTTTAAAAAAAACTTAACAATAAAGTTTTCGATCCATATAAAAATTTCAAACAAAATTCAAAAAAAAAATTGGGGAAGATTTGGAAGATTTGAAAGATTTGAAAGATTTGAAAGATTTGAAAGATTTGAAAGATTTGAAAGATTTGAAAGATTTGAAAGATTTGAAAGATTTGAAAGATTTGAAAGATTTGAAAGATTTGAAAGATTTGAAAGATTTGAAAGATTTGAATAGTTTGAATAGTTTGAATAGTTTGAATAATTAGATTATAAATACAAAATACAAACATTATTTTGAATTGAAAAATCCATACAACGTGCTGTACTAATAAATGGTAGCAAGATGTTGATTCATCTTAATGAACTAAATAGGTACTACTGTTCTTATTCACATCTATAGATTTCCAGAAGACATCTGAGTGATATTTAAGAGAGTCCAAAACGAAAGCTTGCATTAAACATGTTGGTCTAAAGACAGTAAATAGCTAGAACAGCAAAATCAATCTAGCAGTCAGAGTCGCATTACACCCAAATACAACCCAAACAATCTTCCACCATAGCCATCAAACTTTCCATGTGCATCATTCCAACACTTAATAATCTCCCCATTTCCTTCTAGATCCCCTACTGAATAAAATTCCATTATCATTCTATTCTTTCATAGCAGCAGCAACTGAATCACCAATTAGCTCTTGCATCAGCAAAGTAGGCGTTTCAAATGGCAATCCACGCTCTCGAATATAAATCAAGTCATAACTTCTTGGCGTCTCTTGGCTTTCTCTTTGAGTCCACCTCCCAATACCGAAGTAACAACAGAAGTCGGATTCTGCAAAATTCCTCCCACAACGGGTCCTACAACTGGTAAATTATTCGTGATCCCCGTCCAGTTGCAATTCCAGGAACACCCCCAACAACATTTCCAAGAACAGGAAGACTTTGTCTCTTGACAATTTCATCTCGTTCTTTCAACCCTCCTAACCTAAGTCTCCGATTATAGTAAGAAGGGGGCCTAATTCTCCGGCCAATTCCTGTCTCTTCACAATCTCATCTCGTTCTTTTCAAACCCCCAAGCCCTAAACTCCCGAGTATACCAAGAATGGGATCTAATGCACCCGTTATTGATCCTAATCCCGAACCCTGTCTCTTGCTAGAACCACCAGCTTTCTGCGTGGCGGCGGCGGCAGCTTCCGCAGCGGCTATAGCGTCATTGATGTATGCTATGTCGGCGGGAGTGGCGAATTGGCCCAGGCCAGCGTCAATGAGGGCCTGAATTACGGCGGGAGGGGGGATGGGGATAACTTGGGGACTAGTGTCTAGTGATATGAGCATTTCAACTAGTTTGGTGTTGGAGCTGGGGCACGTTGGAGAAATATACCTTTTCAGGGACAGGCGCCGCAAAGGCGAGAGGGAGAATGACAGCTGTGATGAGTGAGATAGGACGCATTTTCGCTTGGTTGAAAGTTGAAGGCTCTCTAGATTGAATATCTTGAACTTGCAATGTAGATGGCTCAGATAAGACCTTGCTGATGTAGTAAAGTGAAGATGATGTATATTTCTTTATTTCCCATCCAGGTACCAATGAGACCCTCAAATAATAATATTTTAAAACTCAAAGTCCTTTCAAATTCTCAGTACAATGTTCAAATTCTGTACCTCGGTATGAGGGATTAACACAATCGGCCCTCATATTTCCATCATTTGTACCCTTCTTGCTCATTGATCACCGAGCGATAACTTAATTGCACCTGTCGAGTACCGCAAGAACGAAGATTTGTCGTGGTGCTGCCGAATTATTGAAGCTTTTGTTATACATTCGTGGAACTTTTGTGTTTGGGGTACATCATGTTGGTAGCTAGTACGAAGCATTTGGGGAGACGCCAGAGACGTGGGAAAAGCTGGAAATATAATGGTCATTGATCTTGGCATTCTTAATTTAAGAAAAACTGTGGAGGATAGCGTTAGTGACGGCTTTCAGCTGAAGAATTGATAGATCTAGAATCGATTGTTTGGGAATGCGGTATGCAGAGGAAGTTTGATGGAGGTGTACAGAAGAGAGACTGGTAAGGCTTGCAACGACATCTCTCGGTAATCTTCATCTTTTTGGGTGGGGTGAGAGAACCTTGTACAACGGTGAGAAGAGAACGTCAGTTGAGACATGATTAGAAAATGGTCGGAGAAGATTCGTGGAATGCAGATATTGCAATATTGAGTACATGGCCGTGAAAACCAGGCTAGCGAAGAATATTCACGAGAAGATGGCAGTCAAACTGATGTGGCTGATGGAGGACTCGTCCAGCTGATGAAGCCATTAAATTCCAAATCCCAATTGATAAATTGGAGTCAAGTCTCTGAGATCACTACATATTGTTAAACCCCGTAGATTAAAATCTAAATCCCGACTCCGAAGAAGATTCCTTCTAGTTTAGGGATTATGAGGTCAGATGTGGAACTTCCTCAAAACATTCGCACGATCGAAGACTTCATTCAGCTTTCTCGGATTGCTTTCAAGACAGGAAGAATTCTCCGACATGGACCAGGCTCGCAGCTTTGTGACTGACGCCGTGGTAGCAATAACATGAATTTCAGCACCATATGAAATACACACACCATATGAAATACACAAGATGGAAACAGCCCTTTCTCAAACTTCCAATCGAAGATCAAAACCTTACCTCCCTTTCAGACCTTGGTTTTAGCCAGCCACAAGCTTTATTTCAGGACTCCGGTCAAACTTTAACCGGCTTCAAGGCTCGTCTAACGTCTTACAATCAAAACTCTTTTGCACACACTTATAACATGCTCACTGGAGCACAAACCGCTCATGAAAAGTAAGAGTTGGCGAAGACAATAATATTCATAATCCGCATTCCAATCTCCATTCTCCAATCGTGGGAATCGTGGATTATAGATCCAGTAGCGTTACCAATTAGAATTTTTGGTATGCGTAGAAGATCTTCCGGAAAGTCACCGGGAAGAATTGCGAATCATTCTCGCTTGCTTTGTTAATATGTTGCGTGGCAAAGATTGCGATTCTATTTGGTAAGATTTGTTAAGGTTTTTGAAAAGAGGCAAGCTTGAGCCGATCTTCACTTCTGGAACACTCTCAATGCTGGAAGACTTTTGATTCTGGTCTCAATCTCAATCTCAAGCGACTAGATTCCCACTGTAGCATATCATCATGGCGGGTGGCACTGATGTTGTGCATTTTGTTTATGTGGATCATGTGGCAGCACCGTTTTACTGGCGATGTGTTTTGCGGTGGGGGGTTCATTATTAGAAACCAAAGCCAAATACCGTCCGAACCTGATCAAATTGAAGACGATTTCATCCTCGGGGATCTTATTGCGAAGATGGCAGCTAAATGTATACAACTAGGCAACGGGATTAGACGGGGATTCTTTGACGCTCAGCTGTGCTAAGGAATTTGAACTTTTCTCCTCTCCAGTTCCAAATGATCGACAGTAACAAGATTCTCAAGAAAAGAAAAACACGTGCATGTAACCTTATTATCTTGTTAGGCAGCGACCAGATTGCTAATCTACCAGATTACTGCCTGCCCAACATGAGCTTCGGTGACCTCCCTCCGAAATCTCCGATAAGAAGAAGAGCCAACAGTTGGCTTACCCGAGTTCGTTCACCGTTGAAAAGCCGAATAACCTCATGTCGGACCGGTAAGAGCCACTGAAGCCTATTTGTCTCGGCATCCTTCAAGTTTGAGACTATTTCGGGGAGGTGGGATTATTCACGTCAATAGCCCTAGGCCTTATCTCATGCAGCTCAACTTCATGCATGCAAAAATCCGAACATCTGCATATTCTCAACGAAGCAGGTTCGGCCCGGGAACACCCACAGAAATATCACAAACGCACGCTAAATGCAGGGACTTATCTTCAACCGTGGGTTTCTTCATCAAACATAGTGCTTACAGGGTCTTTATGGGTCTTTGTAAGCCCCTTACGTCTTTCGCTCCCGTCGGCGGCAACTTCATTGTCGTGCCAACCAATGTAAGCAATGAGGCAGGCTGAAGGGGACCCGAGCAAGAACTTTATACTCGGGTCCCAGAACCCTAGAACTAGTTGCAGTATAGAAGGAACAATACGGCTGACGGGCGAATATCTACAGGAGAATCAGCTTATTGATTGCGGTTCGCGGGGCGTATCTTATATGAGAAAGTCACGGGGAGTAATTCATACCACCAAATCGATATCAGAATTAATGATCTACACTGCACGAAACATTGAGGCAAAGAGTCAACCGCCTATAGTGATCTTTATTTCTTAGATTCGGGAAGACGATGGAACAACTTACATGAGGGTATATTGGCCGAGATGACTGCAGACGTCTAAGCAGGGTAAATAGTGATGTCTAGACTGTCGCTTTGCATACTTTAGATAACTGATGATATCTGGAGCGAGTATTATTCAAATGAATCTCGGGATGAAAAATTGATTGCTCGACGCAATTATCGATGGAATGATTCACCCATGTTGGATAAGAAAGGACGGAGTTTCTTGTGATGCTGGCAGCCTCGGATGTGGAGGAATTAGGAATAAAGTTGATTGAATGCAGTGAGGATGGTGATGGCGTAATCATGTATTTAGACACAAAGAAACTCTTTTGGTAATGTAACGGTAATGTGTTGATACTAGCATATATAAAAGCCCAATGCCAAGAGAAATATCGTAGATAGAATTGTTACTACTTTCCCTAACAAACACGTGGTTGCTGTCTTGATGCACACATACAAAGTGATGCAGCGCAAATTTGACCCATAAGAGTGACAGGCTGTAGAGAGAGTCATATAGCATGTAGCGCTTGAATTCCATGACTCTTAATTGTGATGTTGACCTATCGGTTGCCGGAAACCCTGAAACTGTTTTCCCTGTTCAAGATCGCATGTGCTGCCCTATATCTTGTGGTATTGTGGCTTGCGGGCGTTGAGATGGGAAGAGAATCCGGTGCCGGGTGGTTCTCAAGAAGAACCTTAAGCTTTTGACAAAGCTTATGGTAGGTAAATGATAGCAAGGATGATCCTGACAACCCAGGAAAGAAACCAACATGTTGTATCTTGAGCAATCGAAAATCTGGGGACACCCTAGTAGACATATCTCAAGCGTTGCAGCAAATCCACATAAAGAGAAAATCAGGGTCGTGATCTCAGAGATAAGTCTACAACTATAGACGGGTACCACAGATTCCTAGAGGAGAAGCCCACAAATAACAGGGTCAATATCAAATATCAAACATCAAACACATTGGTTCCCCCATTGTCTTATCGAGAGAATGGTGACCGAATGATCTCAGTAGTATGCCCTTCTACAAAGTGGGAGGAATTTGGATGCGAAGGAGGTTGGATAAGATTGCGCATCCTATTCATCGAAATCTTTTAGCACTAGATTTGACCAGTTATCTTTGAAGCTTGAGCGAGAACGGGTTCGATACGGGTGAATAAAGCGCGAGGCCGACGACTTGCGGAAATCCGCAATGCCCGCAACGCCCGCGATCCACCTATCATTACGCTAACAATTCGATAGATTGCTTATTTCCATCACGTCAACAAGCGGATTGTAATTTCGGAGACAGAATTTGCGAAGGGACCGTGTCGTGGTCAGTGAAGGTCAAAATCTCGGCATGGCGAGGATCAAGTGGCGGCCCGATGCTGGTTGAGATCCCCTTTCCCTCGATTTCCATCAAGAACATTTTGCGGGCTGGGAAGGTCACCCGGGCCATCAAACTCAATTATACTCGGAATGGAAAGCTACGCGACGGCAGAGCTGCATGTTCGTTGCCAATAGAGTTTTTGATGCAAGCTTGATGTTTTATTTGGACCATCTTCATGGATGTTCCAAATGCAGAAGCCTTAAAGCTTAAAGCTTGGCCTCCGGGAATTCCATCCATTTTGGGGGTCACCAAGACCGGTGTGACAGCCAAGATGGCCACGCGAGAGGGGTCATTGGATGTAGGGTTTAAGCCACGCAATTGCAAAACGAAATAGGCGAAGGATGTGGAGGATATTTGAAGGTAAATATTTGACGCTCAGGGAAAATTACTACCTCGGGAGGATCGTACCCCCATGGATTGGAATGTTCTGATCGAAAGGCTAATAGCGGCTAATTTGACGGGCATGCTTCATGAGATGCCCCGCTAAACGAATTACCCCCAAAAAGTACCGGGTATAACAGGGATTCAACTCCATGTCAACATGCTGATATACTTAGCAGGTACATATGAAGTAGTTGCGATTTTAAGTTGTGAAAACTTTCCTTCAATAGGAACCAGGTACATACGAAGTAGTTGCGATTTTAAGTTGTGAAAACTTTCCTTCAATAGGAACAAAGTTGTACTCGGGTCCGGGCAAGGATCTTCTATCAGGCAGTTAGTAAATGAACGCGAGTGGCTAGCTGCAAAAACCCCACGTAAAATATGGGGGGAACGATAAATTGGATTAAGCGAGCAAGGATAAGATACCGCTGAATACCTTGGTACTTATCTGATTATCGACGTGGCCATGATTCATACCTAGCGATTGCCCACAACGAATCATCTCCCTATATAATGTGTGAACCGTGCAGAACTTGTACATATCGACCAGAGCATGCACGTTTCGCCGCACAAATCCTTCATGATCCTTTCAGTTTGACACGGAAACAAGGCTACGAATAACCCCATAT